TCCGTCCATCTCCATGGCACTGGCGTTGCTAACTGTGATGAAGAGACGGTCGGCAGGTTGTAGGAAGGCAGTGCCGGCCTGATGTAAGGAGAAGAGACCAGGTTCCTGACCTTTAGGCCAGCAGGCACTACGGGACGATTTCATCAGAAGTATGGGCACCGTGTAGGAACTCATCTGTGGATCAGACCAATAAAAAAAGGAAAAATGACATCCACATTTCCCTAAGAGTCTATATAAGATTAATATTGTTCCTAAAGCCAGCTATTTTTTTATGTAAAATATTCTCTTGGCTAGGTGAAGGTTTTGAAACACTGGGTTGAGATATTTTAGTTTTAAATTTTTTTTTATGTAAAATATTCTCTTGGCTTTTGAAACACTGGTTTAAGATATTTTAGTTTTAAATAAATAACGTGATGTGTTTCTGTTTGCCAATGGTTGCCAAAAACTATTTGATTTGAACATGTTTGGCCAATTTGAATTACCAATTGTTTATGGCTTTGTAGCTGTTTCTTGGGGGACTGACTTCGGTACTGTTGTCACCATGTGACATTGAACTGTGTGTCAGCATTGGCACATGACTCTCTGTGAATCTGGACTTGCCCAGGCATGCCTTGGGTAAGTCTGATTATTTTGTTTTTTGGAAGGATAGAAATCCATTTAATAGTAACAAGCCCAGTGTATTTGTGTGTTAAGAAGAGGTACTGCCCTGAAGTAAATACTAGTGAATACTACCCTAAAGAAATATCAAGTGACAGTCACTCAAATATCGTCTGTCTTTTTGGGTGAGAAGCAAGACATGTTAAAATGTAAGATTCTTCTGAGCAGGTCATACTTTAGAATGTTTTTACTCACATTTTCAGGCATGAAAACTATTTTCATGTAATTACGTTTTTTATATTTTTTACTAGAACAAATTTACATTCATAATTTTGGGGCAGGACTAGTAGTCATGGTGTGATTTATTTTTTAAAATTGTGATTCAAAAGAGAGAAAAGTTTGGGAATCAGTGGTTGAGAATTAGATGTTGATGTGTCACAGTTGAAGGTCCACATTTCTGTCCTTCTCGTTGCAGTAGAACCTAAATGAATATCATTCTGCCCCAGCACAGCTACTTATCAGGCAGGAAGAGAGTTATTTACTGGTCACACCTGGTTTCTTTTTTTTCTTTCTTCCTGCCAGGTTCCTGTGGCATTATTAAAGGTTTTCTTTCTGTCAGACAGCAGCGTTGTGTTGCCTAATACTATGTTTGCTTAAGGAAAAAGCCTCATTGTAATCAGACTGCCAACAGTTGATACAGCTATCAGTTCAGCGCCAATGCATTCCACTGGGACTTCCTGTTATTTTTCTCTTCATGTTCAAGCTGAGACTTATGTAGAAACATGACTTCCTTGGACATGTCAGGCATTTTATCTGCCAACTTTGGTGATATATTATTGTATAAACATGTTTTTATTAGTGTCCATAATGAGTGGCATTCAGTTACCATAGTAAATAGGAGGGGCATTCATGCACCGTCTGAAATTTGAGAATCGTAAAAGAAAAATGAAAAAGGTGTATTTCATTTGAAAAGGGTGTACTTTCATTGTTACGATATATAATTATTACATTGATTTGAAAAGGGTGTACTTTCATTGTTATGATATATAATTATTACATTAGTGGTTAATTTGGTCTCAAAATAATAATCTGGGGGCAATATATCGTTAAGCAAAATCACAGAACTAGTCTTCATATGTTTAAGCTTAAATAATTACAATTCCATTTTTTAAATTATCTCTGCTCTAGAACAGACGATTATTTACCCTCACTATAGAAAATGTTAACTACCAGCACCGGTTCTTTCTTCAAATACCATATTAATACTAAATGTAGTTTTGAGGCGTCATCGTACCTTCTTGTAGATGTACTGGACAAGCAGTGCTCCCTCTTCCTCTTTTGCCTCTCCCACCTCCTTTGCCTCCCCCTCGCCTTCCCCTGTGGAGGGCAGTCTGAAGTAGGTTTGTGCGTAGATGTAATAGAGGCCCGCTGTGGGCACCAGCAGATCTCCTCCTCTCAGCTCCATGTTCTGCAGAAAGGCCAAACCTCTCTGGCCCTCCCACGCTCTGATGCGCTCCCCCAGGAATCCCCTGCTGCTCCGCGAGCCTAAACACAGCACACACACGGACACACAAGCATGACACAGGCAGAAAGGCGCACGTGCACATGCTTCAAGGTCTCTTTGCTAGGTTGCTGAGTTTAAAGCAGGCGTTGGTGTTCAACGAGAACCAAATGTTGAAGAAACATTCAGAGAGCAATGATCGCAGATGTTCATGTCATCACACAACTGCTTCTCTAATCAACCCAGCCTGGAGTTGGTGTCAGATTTGACGTATTTATCTTCCTTTTCTACCGACAACAGCCATATTTTCACAAAAGAGTAACTGACCTTTAACTGGAGGAAGATGTTTGACTATGTTGACAGGCCTCTCAGATTTATATCCAAAAATATAAGCCAAATAGACAAGATCCTTCACAGCACGGCTGAAATGATTTATCATGAGTTATCATGTAGTTTGAAGCTGCTGCCATGCTGCAAACTTTGGAAAGTCGCATTTAAATCAAGTATTTGGAAACGTTGCTACCGTTTTAAATCAATTCATACAGAAAACAATTCAACCCAGCGGCTCAAAGACATCAGAGGTGATGGACATGTGAGCGTTAGAGTGGAGTTCATCCTTGACATCCTTCACGTAAAAAAATCTTGCTCTGCTGGTCTGAGGTCAGTATCATGTGTTTTAGGTCATAACATGTTTAAGGTCATAACATGTTTAAGGTCATAAGGTCATAACATTCTTGCTCTGCTGGTCTGAGGTCAGTATCATGTGTTTTAGGTCATAACATGTTTAAGGTCATAACATGTTTAAGGTCCAGGTATTTGTTTACTTTGACATCTTGCCCATCTCCTGGTTTCCTCTTTGTCACTCGACTGTCTGTCATCAAGGACAACAATTTTACAGGCCAAAAAGCAACATGACATGAATCTCATCTAGATTGTGGTGGGTTGACTTCCCATGCATTTAAGTTTATTCCCATTGGTTGTCTTGTCAGGAGTTAATGTTTTGAAACCTTTCATGGTCATTACTGTAAAACTAGACTACAGCGACAACTGTCCTGTAGTTTCACCTCCAACCTGATGGAGTGCTTTTGTCATATTAAAAGGCTCTAGTTTGTAAGTTGAGTGCATTAATACAATGTTCTGTTCTTCAGTTAATTCCAAAATTTCAATTTTTTTTAGGCACCATAGCCTCTGAATGGTTTTAAGTCCTGTGTTGTTACCCTCGCCGACCCCAACACAGTAAGTTATACAACCCATATTTGGACAAGTGACTGTGTCCAAGTCCATGCTGAGTTTAACTGGGTGCACAGGGACATGTTTTCATTAAGTACCTCCTTACAATCACCAAGAACTTTATTTTGAAAGTTGTTTTACTGAAGGAATCTTACAATCACCAAGAACTTTATTTTGAGAGTTGTTTTACTGAAGGAAGTTCCTGTTCGTTTGTAATGATTCAGAATCCCTTGTTTAAAAAATTAACACTGAGCAAAAACACTTTGATGAAATCAGATTGGGCACAAATCAGTATCAGCAAGTCACCACAGAGAATCTGAAGTTGTGTTCAGCTATCAGTGCAATTACACTGATTGACACTTAGCTTTGATGATGAAGTGATTGATATAGGAAATGCCTGTCAATCATCAGCTAATTCTTTTATTGGGTAACTTATACTGCCTTTAATAAGTGTGTTTTTGGATGAAGTCAAATGAGTTTAACTGTGGGTCTTATTTCAGTTATTCCTGTATCCACTCTTAGTTTCACATCAAATTATTTTTGACACCAATTCTTTAATCTTTATTCAATGGGGATTCATACCCCTGAAAGGTTTGGTGATCACAGATGTAGACCAGCCCCTGCCCCCCCCCCCCCCCCCCCCGGGCAGGACCCCTGTCTTTTTGGACAGACTTCAGTTGAGTCACAGTGACTCACGTAGGAGAAAACTGCAGAAGATGCTCCAAGTTATGCGAAAGCAGCTGCACATCTGCGTGTCCTGACAGACTCGTACATTAGTATGAAGGCATCAGTGGTTGTGAACGCAGCCTGGGAAGCCTCGGAGCACATTCCTCACCTCTGGCACTGAGGAGGTGTGGGTGAGGAAACACAAGCTGCTCACTTCACTAATCTCTGTATAAGTAGCACATCTATTTCCCCGCAGTCTACGAGCCTTGGCTGTATTGTATCATTAGACACAGGGTCTCTCAGAGTTTTTCACAACCATAAACTGCAGATACTCAACTCAGTCTCTCCAGGGGCCAGAACTTTAAACACAGTCTAAGTTGCTCGCCAACATGGATTGACCACAGTCAACTGCTGACAATGCTTTATCTGGAAATACTGAATTTGAAGAAACTTGTGAAGGTGGCTGAAAGTTTGAGGTTCAAACCCAGGTTTGACCTTTGACATTATGGGATTTATTGTTGATGTTTCCATTCACCAGGATGCAAGGTGGAGGGCCATAAAATTGGCATGCATTGTGGGAGATGTACTTTATGGTAAATGTACAGTTAATTGGAATTGCAATTAGGATTATAAAATTAATTCACACTCACATTCACACCTGGTGACTTTAGAATGAATGTTTAATCACCCATGTTTGTTTAATCATAATATATTTAAACATTTTCAAACTAAAGTCCTGGGCCAAAATCATGTCCCGGGGCCGTACTTTGAACACACCTCTCATAATAAATTTTTCCTCACCTTCTGTAATTGGAGACTTTGTAGGGGAGACGACTCCCGTCACATGGGCGGCCACTTTAGAAACAGGAACCCCCGGGCTGAGAATGGGCAGCACTCCTGTCAGCTTATCTGTGACAAAGACAGAGACGGATGAAAAAACCCAAACATATTTGTGCTGAAGGGAAAGTGAAACGTCACAGTAAAACCTCTTAGCTGTAAGTGACAGTGAATGGAGGTATTGTTCTTACTTCTCATAGCAGACGATATCTCCTTCTGGAATCTGTCAGCCATCGTCTGAAAAGAAAAACAGAAAAAGAAAAGGAGAAGGAGATCAGGAAACGAATGAAGCCACAGATTAATGTTCTATATCTTGTCCTTGGCAGTTATTATGGTTTGTTAAAGTCAGGCTCATCCTCCTGTCCCACAAATCTTCCTCTCCTCGCCTGTTTTAAAATCTGCTGAAATAGCTGTATTCCCATTCGGCCGAGTGGAAGCTATTCTTATGTCTCGTCAGTTAGAAATCATGTGAAAAGTCAAGGATGTGAGAGAGAGGAGCATCCCAACATTATCACCAGAGCCCGACGTCCCTGCTTCACATCTGGGCTCTGTGTTTGTTTACATACATAACAGTGAGAGTTGAGGGGGGAAGAGGAGAGGGTAAAAGAGAAAGTAAAATAAAACCTTCTCTATGTGGTAGTGGAGCTGTTGGGTGACTTGCCAGCAGGGGTTGTTCTTCTTGTCCTCTGCTGGTGAGTTTTCCAGCTCAGAGTGAAGGTTAGAGTTGATCAGACAGGAAACGCTGCTCCTGGAGAAACTCTCCTGCATCTGTGGACCAGACCAGATGGCAGTGAGGCTAAAATGTCCTGAAATTGTGAAATTATCTACAGCTTACAACCACCGCCTTTTTATTATGTCAGAATTAGTGGTGACACGTGTTTGAAAATTATTTGCATTCATTTGAGGCTTTGTAGTCATTGTGACATATTTTACAGAATTAACAAAGATTCAAACACCATTAATATAAATAAATAAACATACCCATGTTTTTATTTATTTATTTATTTTTTCAAACGCAACTGCTCCTTTTTATAGGAAATATATGGCTTGGCTTTTCTATTACTGCTCTTCAGGTTCATACAACCTGCCATACTCAGCCAGGTCACAGTAACAGTGGCATAGTATTAGCATCGTTGGAGTACTTTGGCTCTTACAGTTTGTAAAAACGGAATATAATCCACAGCTTTATATCCAGCTTGATACTCATGATACTGTAGGCAATATGTGCTGCGGTGATAGCATAAAAGTTTTTTGATTTTTTTTTCTTTTTTGCCCTCGTCTCTCATCACTTTTACCAAACTCTCTGATGTCAGTGTGTCCAAGGCTGTGTCTTCGGGCTGGTGAATATTAGCTTCATTACTGGCTGGAGTGTGTGCATCTGGTTACTGGGTTACCAGAGATTGGGAAAGATGTTGTTAAATCATTTTGTCTGTAATAATTTAATCCCAGCCTTGAGTGTGACCTAAAATTAGAACTTTTTTTGTTACATCTTAATAATATTTTCCATCAACATCTTGAGCTCTAGGGAGATTCTACCTTTACAGGAGCCAATAGTGAAAGACCAAGAATTGTGCTAATTTCTGACCCCATAACCTCTGGTGCGAAGGTTGTATTTGACCACTTGGAATTTGCACTCTCACCTTTAGATGTCACTAAATCACTAAAATTAGGACAGGTTTGTCCAAAATCCAGCCTGGGGCAGTAATGGTACTTGGCTGGGTTTATGTTGGAGGTTTAGTTGTGTAACAGTTGTTTTTATAATGTGTTTTGAGGATCTTTTCAACCATTTTGTCTCAGGTTTTGCTAACAACCTATAGATATTTCACTTTTTTTTATCATTTAGGATATGTTTTTTTCTGGCCTGACTTTCAGTTCATTAACCAGTTCTTTGGTTAATATAACTTTTCGCTGTTTCTCTGCAAACCAAATGTTTCAACTGCCTATAATTGATTAATTATTATTTACTGTATTATTATTTCACACTACTACAATGCTAAAAGACATACATACTTTAAAAAAATAACCAAATCACCAGGTCACAATAACAGATTATTTGCCTCATGTAAAGACTAGCATTGAGTTCCTTTCAAATTCTTCTTTAGTTCATAAAAAGAAAATGAATAGATCCAATGGTCCTTGATCAAGACTTGTTTCAAATCTACAGTATCTCAAACAGGATAACATTCAAGTGCTTAAAAATTTGACTTCGATTTCATGGTTGAATTATCTGATCAAATCAAACGTATCACGGCTCATTTGACAAAGATATGACAAAACTTACCAAAGCTGTTGGTAACATTAAAGGGGCGTGTCTTAACATGTTATTATTACAATCACACAACATTGAAAAGTACTGTTTATCCCAGTACTGTTCCGACTCTTCTGTTTGAAAAGATTTGTAGTATTCAATATGAACCTGACAGTGGAGTGGACAGACGTGTTCATGAGCTGCTGTGACTCAGCTAATTATAGTTCAGGTCTGTTTATATGACCTTTAGAAACGTTTACTAATAGCAGTTGCTGCAGGCTCACACATTAACCCCACACTCTTAACATTTCCTCCCATTGTTTTCTCACTTTCTCTGACCATTGTCCCACAGAAAGAATAGTCACTTTATCAGATGAGTAAACTGTAATAATGGTGGTGTTTTACAGTGACTATAAACCAACGTGAGTCTGATTGAACACACTCCTCCATGTTGTGGTCCTTCATCAGTGTGGGAACAGAGCAGGTCTCTAACCTCTGGAACATAATTCAACTGCAGATCTTATCTCACAGGATCTTAGATGAACTGTTTCTACAGCTGCTTTGTTGTCGTGGCACCAGTGAAAACATCACCTTCTCACTGCCACCATGAAACTGTCCAAAGTGTTTCAGTTAGAGGTCAGAGATGATGTGCCACCAGTCTGTTAGATGACAGCCTCACCGTGGATGTGTGGACGAGGGCGTTACTTACCGTGTCCAGGACTTTGTTGAAGTAGATGAAGCTGATGGCCACGGCGATGGTCTGCAGCAGGACGGCAGCCAGAATGATGAGCCCCAGACACTGGAGAGAAAAGGCTATGGCCATGATGTCACAGAGCGGGAGATAAAGGGCAAAAAAACAAAAAACAAAATAACAAATAAGTCCTGGAGAAAAGAAAGAGAGGAGAAACGGCTGCTTCCAGCAGGCAGGACAAGTCAGATCAAGCTCTGCTGCATTTTACAGAGAGTGGCAGTGAGGGAGAGAGAGTGAGTGGAAAATGGAGCAACAGTTAGGAGGTGGAGCAGAGAGGGAGGAATGGAGGATTACGACACACTCAAGATATCACTATTACACAAAATTAGCCTTTAAAAAAGTTGTTATGATGTAAAAGTAGCAGGTTTTTGAAATATGTACAGTACATGGTATATTATTATTTTTATTTTTATTGAATTACCTTTTATCAAGTATTGGCTTTTTTTGGTATTAATTTGACCCTAATCTTTTAGCTTCTTTTCAAGCCATGGCGTATATTTGAAAAGTTCTATGTTACCCCACCAAACAAAATTGTCACAAAAATATTTGCATTTATATTTTTATAACATAAATAAAATAAACTGGACAACACCTGAGCAGGATTAGTGTAACATAATGCTGATAGTCTCACCAGAATTGAGAAAATTATAATTTTTCATGCAATGAGCTAATGCTCGTTGCTAACATATAGTTTTCTATTTTTTTTTCATGCAATGAGCTAATGCTCGTTTTCTATTTTTATGTGTTTTTGAAATATATTTTTCATATTTTTTTTGCAATATTTGACCTAACCTTAAGTAACTTTTTATTAGTTTCTTAGTTAACTTTTAGTTAACCAATGCTAATTAGGCAACACCAATGTAGCTGCATGAAATATCCCACATTTAAAGACTAAAGAAGGACCACATGTTAAGCATGTAAACTCTAAAATCTAAACATAAGGTGATACAGATTACCAAGAAGAACCTTAAAAGGAAACTGTTTCATGTCCACTGCAGTAAAACAAACCATGACCGCTGTGTTTTATTACCTCTAAAACCTGTGTGTGAAATGGTCACTAATAGGTGCATGTCTTTTTTCTCTTCCTACTTTAATTTAAAGTTTCTCCTCTTTAAAACCCTAGGTTCTTGAAGTCGTCCATAGTTTTATGTGCGCTGTGTAGTTACAGCTTCCAGCCAGCAGCAATATCTGTACATTGTTAGTGGTTTTTATGACTTCCAGTCTCCAAGTCAAGACCATTTGAACCAAAAATGTTCCTGTGATTTAAAGGGAATGTAGATTTAAAATCGCCTGAGGGTCAAGTGTTCCTCCTGTGAAACCTGCGGAAAGACTTTCTTTAAGTGTTGCAGAAATGCATGGAATTTTAATAATTTTCTAGGCAGCCCAGAATTATTTTTTATGTGTCCATTTACATTAAAACACTACTCTCTATCCTCTTGTTAGTTGTTGGTAAGAGGCTGGAGAATGTTATTGCTATTGATAGCCCATAGTGAAGCTGATGTTATAAACAGAAGTTATCAAAAAAATGGCAAAAAGACAATTTATAAGTTAAAATATATTAAAATTGCTCAAAGCCTAGAAGATAAACAAAAGTACGGACACATTACTAGCTTAATGTTGCCTGATATATAACTAAAGGTTAGACATGGCTAAAAATTAGCCACAGCATTAATGTAAAGTTAGTAAAAAAAGTCAATTTTAATAAATTTACTAATAATATTTAGTGATAATTAAATTTTTTAAAAAAATCTTTAGAATCTATTGTAAAGTTAGCGTAGCCCTAACCTAGGATACGCTGTGTAATAAATGTGACAAACCTTCAACAATTTAGGTGAAAGATACCTAAATAAAAATTCCAAAAAAAATAGTTATTGTTTTTGAAATGTCAGTAATATGAGGCGAAAGATCACAGTAAGTGCGAAAATTAATTATAACAAATATAGCTAAACGTTAACTATTAGATAGCTCTGCTATGATGCTAGGTAGCTAAGTTCACTTTTATATTTAATGTTTATTTTTCATGATTGTTTATGGTGAAAATGTTTATATATATATGAATAATATATGTATTCGATGGCTGGTTTTATATATGTATTTATAAAACAACAAAGTTAAAATACTCCTGACATGTCAGCACAATATCAGCAGCAGAAAGCTAGAAGAAAAATGAGTGGTGTGTCTTTTTCTTTCTCCTTCTCTTTCCTGTCATTGTGAACTGATCTGAGGGAATGTTTGCTGATTGATGCCAAGTCAACCACCATTGTTGGTGCTCAGCGCAGCTCCGAGAGCTGTTTGTCACTGGGGAGTCATTCGATCTGCATAACTTAACCTTGACTGATTCCTGTACTTTCATTCCCCCACCTTTAACTCCTGCTCCATTGTCAGTGGGAGGAAGTGGGGTTTTCACAGCCCCTGGATGGTTATGAACCCACCCAACAGTCACGATTTTGGGATTTTTACTTAATGATGTGTGACGCAGTGTTGATAATGAAGCAGTGTTTGGGAAGGGCCAGCATGTCATCTGAGGAACTGAAGTTTGTTTCCTGCGGTGATTTCAAATCTCACCGAGCAGAAGACGAGGTGATTAGAGGATTGTCTTATTTGTTTTAAGCCAGTCAATTCCCAGGCTTGTTGCACAGGGGGAGGGGAGGTGAGTGACATGATGAAAGTGTCTGGCCTCGGGCGAGGAAGATGACACCCTGAGAGAGAGAAGCCTGTCTGCTATCCCATGGCCAATGGAGCGAGAGAGAAATGTGTGTGAAAATGTGTGTGAGAGGTTTGTTTTAGTGTCTCAGCGGAAGTGATGAGTTCACTGTGATTTATTACTCTTTTATAAATCCTCCCACCACATCTATTTTTATTTTTTCCTTGTTAGAAGCTGAATGTACAAACCCTGGAATCAAATCTCTTTATTTAACCTGGACTTTCTAATCATTTGGTAACTTGGGATGCTAATTGTTATTTTTTTATTTTTGCCCATTATTGACTCCATTCTTCAATTTTCTTCTTTTTATTCTTTATGAACCAGACATTTTCATTATGGGTGTAGGATTTTGATTTTATTTATTATAAAATAATTACTCTTATGGCGGATACCAGTACAATAACTAAAACTAATGTTTGTTTTTTAAAAGAAATAATGACTGTCACCATATGACCTTTTGTTAATGACGACCTGAAGAAAACAAAACAAATGCTCAGTGTGTGAGTGTGAATTGTATCCATTCCGCTCACACTCATTCCTACGGTCACTTTAGAGTGAACAGTCAACCTTATCCTGCGTGAGTAATGACTGTGGACTGTGGGAACCAGAGTAGTTGGAGAAAACTCACCTAGAGATTCATCAGGTGACCTTCTTACTGTAAGGACAGAGACCTAACCACTCCTCCACCTTTTGACAAAAAAATTTAACTTTCATTAAAAGCACTTAAAAACTTTACCATTTAATAAAAATTTGTGTCAATTAGCCAAACACTGTTTTATTGGATTTTTATTGTTATTGTACTGATACTTTAACTATACATGTGTACCTCATGCAGTATTTGACCACAGCAGCTGTAGTACACACACACAGGCGGACTGAATACACTGAGCTTCCCCAACACTTAACTCAGGAGAGCAGTAGGAAACAGGAGAACGTGAAGATTACTTCTGCGTCTGTAGGACTGGAAGTGGTTTCCTACCCCCCGTGATGCTAGTGAAGTGCTGGAATAATACCCAGAGGACATGAAATGGATTAAAAGGATGGCTCATGCTCCATCCAGCCTCCCCCGCCCTCCACCCTCCGTTTCTCTCCCCAGCGTTTGTCTTGTTAAACTCATGGAATTCCCCCTAAATTCCCTCCAGAGTCTCTCTGCAGCTGCAGATTGTCTCCGTTATAAAACAAAGAAATTGCTACGGCAGCACAATAAATACAGACAGTTGCCAGCAGCTTTGACCTGACACTGGAAGGGTGTTTCCCCTCAACCACTACAGTCTGCGTTAATGTAAATGGGCGTAGAATAGGCTCAGAAATTAGTCAGAGCTGCAGACCAAATGCCCTCGAGGATATTAGATACGGCCCATTTATTTAAAAAAAAGTAAAGGAGATTCTTAAAATTTGTAAACTAAGCTTTTGTTGCAGTTAACATGCCAGAGTTCTGGATAATTTGTTTCAAAACAATGGGCTTTAAATGTAAACATAAAAAACAAATATGTGGTTGGATCTTGGTTAGAAAAGTATTTGCTAATAAAAGCTAATGCTAGCTTAAAAAAACAGCTAGCAAGTTACTGAATAAAATTGGTTAAACAAAAACAAAATAATAAAAGTACATCTATCATTTTAAAATTTTAAAAATAATTTTGAGTATAAAGGTCTAGTAGTCTACAGGTAACAAGAAGAATAGTAAAACACTATTTTTTACTGAAACGTAATAAGAACAAATCATTCTGAAGAGCGAGTCAAAAGTAACAACAGCAGTGATTTGGCCAAACGGAGAAATGCTGCTCGAAGTTGTACTCCTTCTGTAGTTGAAACACTAGAGGGGGCTGTTGTATTAAACCAATGCTGCCGCTCACTCCAATGACCCCGAAATGCACTCGGTTCACCTTAAGCCCCGTGAGGTAAAAAGACAAACAAGCGGAAACAGGTCTGCTCGTGTAAAAGACTGGAGGATGGTTTGTGTTGTGTTGTAACAGTGTTTTCAACAAAGCCACCTTTTTATGACTGTGTCTGTCAGAATGTGTACAGTAATGTTTGATGTGGCGTTCCCCTGACATTATTGGACCATTATTTAGTCCAGTTATTGGGTCATTGGACATTGTTAGCTTCCTTAGCTGTGTTTCCAGATTAACCTGAAAGGTTTATTTGTCATATTTTCTTGTTTACCCTAGTTTTGTTAAAGCAATTTTAGCTTTTTCTGAACTGACACTCAACCATTCAAAAAGGCTATCACCGTTTTCTATTCCTTTGGGTTTTTTAGTTAGCTACACACACGTAAGCTGTGGTTGGCTAACTTTTCTTTGAGGTCTATTTTCTTAGTTTTAGCTGTTACTTTTAAATATTTTACTATATTTTTTGGCTAATCCTGCTCTGTCTTTACTTGCTTATGTCCTTAACAATAATTCACTTTGACATTTACTCCAGTTAACAATAATTCACTTTGACATTTACTGCAGGACACTTTATACTTTATACACTTTCACTTCCCTTTTTTTTTTGTAATTCTACTGTGGCTAATGTAACTATTTTTCATCAAACTTCTAGCGTTTTCTAGTTGGATTGTAGGATTTCTGCTGATACCAGTAGCGTATTCTGAGCGAACACTTTGCTTACAAGTCAGCTAATTTTTCTTTAAATTACAATTAAACAATAAATATTTTAAGCTATCCTAGCAATTTATTACTGCTGTGTTTTGCTCACTTTAGGCTCTGACTTTGAGTTGCCTTGTATAAACTTAAGTTATTTTTAACACACTTTTAATGAGTGTATGACTGCATTTCAGCGATTATCAATTATTTACATGAGAAGTTTGTGATTATTTTATTAAAACGATCAGTACAAAAAAGGGTGTAATTCCTGTTGTAGCCTCCTGTGGTAGGTGTATGAAAGTCCTGAGCTCAGAATAAATAGGTTAAACACAAAGAATAAATGCACACACACACAGACACCCACCCAAAGACCATTTACACATTTACAGTCCTTTCTCCCTCACAAGTTGTTCTGCAGCCAGTTGATGTAGCCTCTGACCGCCCTCCTCCCAACATCAAACTCCAGAGGCCAGACTGTGAAACTAAAACATCCATGGAAACCCTCCTCATAGTGAACGTTGGTCACCGTGACCCCAGTGTCCTGGAGACGTCGAGCGTACATCAGCCCGTCATCCCTCAACACGTCATTCTCACATGTTATCACGTACGTCCGAGGACATTTGGCCAGAACCTCTGTTCCTGCCAGCAGTGGAGAAGCCCTGACGTCCAGCAGAGCAGGAACCTCCTTCAGGAGTCCAGGAGAACCTTTCTTCGTCATCACAGGCTTGTGGTTCTTCTTATGTTTGAAAGGGAGGAGAACGGTCCAGTCATACCTCGCCCTCAGCTCCCGGGTGATGGCTGAGTTGTGAGGAGAGCTGTGGTTGTTGACCAGCAGCTGTGGCTGCAGAGAGGTGTCGGCACCAAGGTACTGCAACCAGAAGCTGACCACAAAGGGTCGGTACAGGAGGGGGACATCCTGATTCTGCCAGTAGGACGGAGTGTTGAAGTCCAGAGCCTGGAGCATGGGGTAGATCAAGGCCTGGATGCTGAACTTTACACTAATGGAATCATCGGTTGATATCTGGGGGAAAAAATACAAACAAACTTTTATAATTCCTCCAATACTCCAACTCTAATAACTATTCCTGGAGGATATTTGTTGCGTTAACCTCCTGAGCCACTGCTGCGGCCAGATTTCCTCCAAGACTTGCTCCGGCCACGGCCACTCGCTCGGGGTCAATGGAATACTTAGCCAGAACCTCAGGGGAAAGGAAGTGTTTGGCAGCAGTGAGGCAGTCCACGAAGGGCACAGGGAAGTGGACGTCTGGTGGAAGACGGTACCTGTGCAGATGGGATCACACTTCAACACAGCCTTCAACCATCTACTTCAACTGTTGACGATTGGGATCACACTTCAACACAGCCTTCAAACATCTACATCAGCTGTTGACGATTGCTGCTGCTGCTGGAGGACAACAACTTACTCGACCGACACGACAACAGTGTTGAGTTCGTCTGAGATCATGTGGTTGAGAGCATCATTTGACGGTCTCTCTGAGGATTGAATAAAGGTGCAGAGGTGTAGAGACATACACAGGTATTTCAACGACGAAGCTTTTACTTGGTAATAAAGCATTTTCTTCAGTCTCCGAGAGTGAATTTAGACCATCAAATTCTGATCAAGTCGTCTATGAACCCGACCAAATGTCAGGTCTGAACTCTAACTATATTTCAAAAGTAACACAAATGTCTCTGACCACCATCACAGATCAAGAACATCAAATAATTAATTATATGTATGTAAACACTCACCAACACCTCCCAGGAACCAGTCTCCTCCACGGAAATACATCAACCCTCTCCTCAAGTGACCCTCCCCTCCAGCAGGGGGCTCATACACTCGGACAGGAACGCCAGCGAAGGTTGTGTCGCTGACCTTAACTCCAGGAACCACTCCTCCACCAGACTCATTACTGTCGCCCACATTTGTCAGTCCAGGGAAGCTGTCTGATAACTGCCTGATGGACCTGATGTAATGATCACAGCCCAGCCAATGAATCAAAGAAGCCTGGAGACACACAAAAGAACAAGTGGTCCTGTCCTGTTCTTACTTTTACTGAACCTTTTGGACACTGGGATAATTTAAACATTTAGTTTAAAGGCTCGCAATTGTCTAATGGAATATAACAACATACATGTCACGAAACAGTTCACACAACGTTGCTACAAAATTACAAAATCTGAATTAAATTACTGCCATCTAGTGGTCTGAGTTCTGCACCTAACTGGTTGTCAAGCAAAGCGACCCTTGATGTTCTGCACCTAACTGGTTGTCAAGCAAAACGACCCATTAAAATGATTGGATTTTATGAGAAATCTCTCGATACTGTTCACATGAATTCATTAAAATTTTCTGTGATCATTAAGAATTTGGATTCCAGAACATTCTAAAACACATTTGGATGACTGTTGGCATTTGCAACGTGGAATTGCCCCGTGTTGATGCAAAACTGTGAAAAAAAATGTTGATGGTGGTTATTAAGAACACACGTGACACGAGTGACTGAAACATCTTCATAGCCAGAATATATTTCTGTATAGTTAATAATTTAGTCCTTATCTGTACCTTTTGTGCACTATGATGATACATTGCCGTTGTATAACGTGGTGTGTACAACCAGACTACACACAAACACACACCTGTGTCCCTCTTACCAGATGCAGGGATGTCCTGAGTCCAGCAGACACCACCATCAGCTTCCACGGCTCCTGGATGTTCTCAGGCAGAGGTGTGTAAACGTAATAAGCCACTGCTAGTGCTAACAACACACACAGCACCAGCGGCCGCAGCCTCATCATGTCTCTGATGCTGCTCCTTCATCCAGATGACTGACGACGCAGCAGCGTCATCGTCACGGACCCCGACGCTGCTGCTGCTGCTGATTGGTCCCTGTAGCTGTGAGTGAAGGCTGAAGGGACCAATCGGAGTCCAGGTGAGCCCAAGTTTTATTTTGAAATTTAAGGTTGTTTTTAGACCGGGTCGTAAAAGTTTCAAAATAAAACACTAACTGCACGTTTTTGCGAAAAATATTTTTAAAAAGCTATATTAAATGGTCCGAAATTCGCTTTTATATTCAGCTCACATGTTTTATTTCGAATTCACACTGTTACATTGATACTCTAGTTTAAACAATTGATAGAAAAAAGAGCTGGTGCTTGGTTGTGTAAAACATATTACAGCTATTGACATTTTTTTTAGCGGAACACTTTAAAATCATAATCCAGCGAAATTGAATAAACATTAATGTCAATGTGGAGTTAATTGTCACAATAATAAAATGTAGGGTTTTTTTTAAACCCATCAAGATAAAATTTATTGCCACCATTTGATCTACTATTACTGCTACTAAAAATATATATTTTGGTTCTATTATGTACTATATATTTACTATTATTTCTACTATTATTACTATTTTTATAGTAGCAAATATGTCTATAATTTCTCAACAATTTCTTATAACTAAATGTTAACACCATGATGTACTTTGAATTTTCTGTTACTGTGACATTTATTGAGATTTTACTAGCATGTTTTGCTATTTTAAAGACTATTATATATAATATACTATTGTTTTTGCACAGAACATTACTTTGTTTATTGCCCAATATTATCAAGCAACAAAGCTGTACTACATTTTCATGACCACAGCGTGGCAGACGTGAGCTGCACACCGCAGCCAGGCTTCCACGCGTGAAGTTTGACTATATCAGATAATGTAGAGTGAAATAATCGATTGGCTCAGAGATAACGTTGTTATAGCAGTAAAATTGTTTACTCGAATGTTCTGGAACAAACAGGATTTTTTTTCCATATATACGGTATTATGTGGAGAATATGGTTCTAATCAACGCAATTAGTGGTGACGAAAACTACATCTAAATCTGGGCAGCACAGCGAGTTTTGGCCACGTATTAAAGACAGGTCAAAACTCTGTCCTCTTTAACTGTATCATGTGTATCGTCATTCTGACTGAAAGTCCATTTACATTCATATAACACTTAAAGACAGTTGTTCATCGGTACCAGCAGCAGCTCAGCTGTTTTCTCTTAGTATTGATCAGCTTTCCAAGTAAAGAAAATCCATATTGGACCAAAGTCCTTAATAGAAAGGATCAGTGGAACAAAGTCTTGGACAACAACAGATCCGACTCCTCACTGATCACAGGACATCGATCCTCTGACAGCACTTCTCTTCAGGCCGTGCATCTGTTTTTAGATTGAAAACACATCGACTCGAGCAGAGCAGGCAGCGGCTCCACAGTGGAAGAAGACGATGAAAAATGTCCAGTGTTTTGTTATAGAGTTGGTAATGTTACCATCACATCGGCTGTTGTCCAAACTCCAAAGAGAAAAGTTGAGAATCAACCCGGTGATGTCAAGCTGTAAAGTAAGAGCACTGACCACTGTGTTACCGTGTGACCGACCTTTAGCTAATTTGGTTCTTGTCTTGTTCACTTGTAACTCAGAGATAGTTCAGTATTTCTGTGCCAACTATGTGGATTGAACCCTGGACCTTCTGTGCTTACGGCAGATGTGTGAGGCGTGATAGCTGCTGTACTATGGAACCATGAGAAACAAACAAAACCACATAAAGTATTTGGCCCGTACGGGGATCGAACCCGCGACCTTGGCGTTATTAGCACCACGCTCTAACCAACTGAGCTAACCGGCCACATGGAGCAGACATCAAAGGATGGTGTTGTGATGATAAAGTTCAGATCTCATTATTTTGAACTATCGTGAGTTAAAATGAACCTGTGCTGCAACATTCTTCTGTCGCAGCTTCTCCAACATTTGTCTTTTATTTTTTTATGTCCTTGCGTAATATGGCGTGTGTCATTAGTTCACAAAGTAAACCAGCGACTGGCTTCTGATAATGTCTGCATCCCAATCATTGTCCCAGTTCAGCACAGATCAACACAGAGCAGTAATTAGTACCACAGCTAACAGCAGCCGGTTCCAGAGACCGGGTCAGGAACCACAGTTTATTCAGTCAGTCAAAAGAGATTTATTTTATTTTTTTAACATAAATATTTCAAATTGCTATTTACTTATTCAAACATAAAATTGCAAAAACAAAGTCTTCCAGATTCTAAAGCACTGACAGGGAGTGAATGCAGGGAGCAGCCTGTGTTTGGTGCTGTTATCTGCCTGTTCCTTCCCACAGTTTTACCCTTAAATGACTCTTTATCTCTGTCTCTGGTGAGAACATAAACAAACATCAGAGCTAAAGAGGATCTGACCCCTGCAGTGCAATGCTTTTCCAAGACGCAAGAAGCAGCCGCGCTCACTGCACCCGATCAGTTTAGCTTTGTGTGAGCCAGGGATTGAGCTTTCAGAGAACACGATGAGTGGAGAAAAACACTGAGGTGTTAGCCATAGTGTTATTTTAAAAAAGCGAAGAAGAAGTGTTTTACTCTGTATGAGTGTGAGTGTGAAAGTCTGTGCCAATTAAGTCCAACGTTTTGTTGAACTAGTTATGTTAGGATGACTATAACTCTCCAATCTGTCCAAGTAATGTGATTTTCCATTTGCCAGACTTTAGGCTACGCTAGGCTAAGCTAACTTTCTGTGTGGGATTGGTTTCAATTAGCTTTGTGGTGTTAATTTTATTTTTTCTACTTGGGTTAGCACCTGATATATTGTGATCTTGTCAGTGAATGACATCAGCAATGCTACATGCTACGTTTGTTAGCCAAAGCTAAACCTATTGACCGCAGCGTGGCTGTGCTTGTTGTTTGCTGTCAATTTGTTTTACCTTTTACTCACAGACAAAATTTACTTCAAAAATGTAAGAAAATACAACATAAATCAGCTTTGGCCACCAAAGCTAGAAAACAAGATGGCCGCCTCCAAGAAATGTTTTTTTAACAACCCCGTAAGTGTATTTAAGCATTTTATTACTACAAAAAATATAAAAACATCAAAATAAAAATACTTATATTTAAGATAACAGATATTTTACTAACATTGGACAAAGAGATTTTGTTTTGCATTTTGGTGGCTAATACACAGACGGATGTCCTTTATCCATCCCCTGTGGTAGGAAACTGTTACTGCTCCTCATGCAGGAGCATTTAAGAAAACCAGATGTATAAGTACACAGTAGAAGTGTAAGTAACAGAGTTTTTTTTAAATATACAAAAACTATCTAGTAGTAAACGAGAAGTGTAAGTACACATAGTGACAAGTTTAAATGTATATACTTCAAAATGTCTGGAGGTAAAAGACCCCACAGACATTAGTTAATTAGAATTTGCAAGGAATATTGACTAAAGTATGGCACAGATTAAATTAGAGTGTGGAATAAATATTTACAAGAATATTGGATAGTACATGAGAATACACAATTCCTTGGTAATGGTTTAGTCAGAACTGTTGGAGAGCAGAAGTAGAAGAAATATAAGCAATGTCTACTTTGGGTTTTTAGTCATCCTGATGTCATCCTAAATCCAACACACTCAAAGGCAGGTTTGAGTCAGACGCTGACGTCGTGTTCAGTCAACGCTTTGATCATGTTTAGTTTCTATTCCAAGTGATATTGGCAGAGTTTTTGTACTTACCCTGTAATATAAGGCTCGTACACATAAATGACAACACTGGCTCTGCTACAGATGATGTCAGCAGTTTCCAAAACTCTCTGGAATGAGCGTCAGCAGAAATATTAAATCACGACATGGTATGTGGTTTAAAGACTGAGCATCTCAACTCCTCATCTTTCCTGCTTCCTCCTCCTCCTCCTCTTCTCCTCGTCTCCACATGTGTGAGTCTGGCGTCTCCCTGCAGTCTGTGGTATGGAGGGCCCCTCTCTCCTGTCACTGACTGGAATTACACTTATGGTCATTTAACTTGACTAAAGGCACCAGACGGAAACGGAGTTATTTTCTATTTTGGAACATCTCCACAATCGTTTGTTGCCCCCTCCCCCCCTTCCCTCTTTCATTGACACAGTTTTTAAACTTGTTAAATGACAAAATGATTTTGTTTGACTGTGGTGAGATAACCACTACCAAACCACAGTTACCAATAAATAATAATTTACCAATTATAGGGAAAACACCTTGAACTGATTTCTCCACATCTGGTCGTCCGCTCTTTCAAGGCAGTGGAAATGTTTTCAATAATGTAATGCACATAGGAAGGACACACACCATGTATGATGTTTCAACAAAAGACCCTCATTGGTCAGGACTAACGAAACACTAAATTCTTTGATGAATTTCAAGTTGCTACTGTTAGCAGTGGTTAGTTGTGGCTAACAATAATAATCTTAGCTAAAACCTAGTCATAATGGTTAACAGTCAATTTAAAAAGAAAAACTAGCAAATGTTACCTTTAATAACATGGACAGAAACAGCCCAGAAATAGATACAACATATAGCTTCAACTGGCCAAAGGTACAATAGCTAACTTGTTTTTCAGGTTAACACATGGATTTGGAAATAAGGGCACATGACAGAAACACATTTAATAAAATATACATTTGTATTGTAGGTGTAAATTCTATTTGCTGGATTATACACCTATGATATGTGCTCACTGTGAACTGATCTATTATAACATTACTATGATATGTGCTCACTATTTTGTGTTTTATTCTATATTCAATATGAAAAACTTAAAAACATCATTTTACATTTAGAACAGATACAGACTGTGTTCTATGGTACATTTAATCATAGAGTGAACTAAAGTGAACTTGCCCTAAAAAAAACCTTTGACATATTGGCACAGATGGGAAAACCATGTGCACACGGTCGTTTTACTATCAGGGTCACTCAGATGCACATTTAGGTCAGTTAGCGTGAAGATGATGTTTTCATCTTTTCTGCGTTTTGATTTGATTTATCGCCATCTTCTAAATCAGCAAATCAGTGATGTTC